TAGTTTTAGCTTGTTGTTTTTCTCTAGCCTTTTATTAGTTTTAGCTTGTTTTTCTCTAGACTTTTATTAGTTTTAGCTTGTTGTTTTTCTCTAGCCTTTTGCTAGTTTTAGCTTGTTGTTTTTCTCTAGCCTTTTATTAGTTTTAGCTTGTTTTTCTATCGTGTTACAGTCTCAGCTGTGGTTCATGCTAACAGCAGCTGAAGTGTAAACTGCTTCCTGTTGCAGAGCAGCTAAAGGTTTTTGTTCTATCCTCCATGTTCTGATCTAAAACATGTCTTTAGCTGTTATGAGCTAAATGTTCTGATTCTTGTAAAGCGGGTCCTGAAGTCCTGCAGGACCAGGACCAGGACCTGGACCTATTTCCGGCTCGGTTCTGTCATGTGGTTGGTGTGAAAACCTGGATTGGATCTTCCGGGTCAGCTGGACCGGAAGTAGAGAAATAACGTGTTGGGAACCAAACGGAACCAGAACCGTTTGGACCTGTTCCAGATTGAAACGAGACGTTTTAAAAACCAAACGACGGAACGAGACCGGGTCCAAACACGGAAATCCGCTTTTAATCCGGTCGAACCGGGTCGAGCCGAACATGAGTCACGTGGGTTGGATTTACACGACACGAGCTCAACACAGAAACACGAGGGAGGTTCGGCTTGGTTCGGTCCACAGAGGCCCGGCAGAATCCAGTCCGGTTCTTGACTCCTTCATCCAGTCCGGATCAGCACCGAGGCTCGGTAGAGGACAGAAAGGACAAAAACCAGACGGTCCGTCTGGGTCTGGCACCAGAACCAACTGCTGTCCTCAACCCGGTCCACCTCCAGAACCCCGCGGTCCGAACACGGAACCGGAGCTGGGTTCGGTTTCCCCGGAAGCAGCAGCGGCCTCCGTTCGGCTCCGAGCCCGCCCGGAGCCTCACGTGTCCCGGTTCGGCTCCCTCACATGACCCGGCTGTTTGTCCCCGTGACCAGAACCTCCGTCCGCCCGGGACCGCCTCATGGAGCTGCTGGAGCAGAACCTGGAGGGTTCGGGGAGGTGAGCTGCTCCGGCCCGAACCAGAACCCTCTTGTTAAAGCGCATGTGGGTCTGACGGGTTCTGCCGAACCTCCTGCATGATTTACAGCAGAAGGAAACCCAGAGGTCCGGTTCTGACCCCAAAGGTCCGGTTCTGATCCTCAGACTGGAGTTCAGACTTCTTACCGGAACTAAAGGTTCATGTAAACAGTCCGGTCCGGGTGGTTCCGGCAGGAGGCGCTCTGGTTCCACAGAACCATCCGGACCGTCAGGGTCCGGGTTCAAGTCCCGCTAAAGTCACTGACGTTTGTTTGTTTGTTTGTTTGTTTGTTTGTTTGTTTGTTTTAGGCACGAGAAAACGGAACCGGAAGAAGAGCTGCACCTGCAGGAAGGTAGGAACAAGTTTACCTCAACTTTACACAAACAAACAGCTGTTTACACAAACAAACAGCTGTTTACACAACCAAGCAGCTGTTTGTTTGTGTAAACAGCTGCTTGGTTGTGTAAACAGCTGTTTGTTTACACAAACAAACAGCTGCTTGTTTGTGTAAACAAACAGCTGTTTACACAAATAAAAAAATAAAAAAACAAATTTATATAAAATAAAGAAGCTGAAATTTGTTAAACTTAAACTGAGTTGAAGCTAAAACCTAGCCGTCACAAAAGATCAGCTAAAGTCGTTCAACACAGCTGAAAGTAGCAAACGACGGACTAAAAGCTACAAGAGGAACTGGCTAAAAACAGCAAAAAGTAGCTAAAACTAGTCGCTAAAATGAAGTAGATCTTTAGCTTCTTCCAGTTGTTCCTTTTTCAGGGGTCTCCACAGCGAATCCTCACCATGTCCTCACTTTGTCCTCTGTGTCCTCTGTCCTCACTCCAACTACATCCATGTCCTCTCTAACTGCATCATATATCTCCTCTTTGTCTTTTTCCTGCAGCTGCATTTCTAACATCCTTCTACCAATATACCCACTGTCCCTCCTCTGGACGTGTCCAAACCACTGTCCCTCCTCTGGACATGTAAAGACCACTGTTCCTCCTCTGGACATGTCCAAACCACCATCCCTCCTCTGGACATGTCCAAACCACTGTCCCTCCTCTGGACATGTAAAGACCACTGTTCCTCCTCTGGACATGTCCAAACCACTGTCCTCCTCTGGACATGTCCAAACCACTGTTCCTCCTCTGGACATGTCAAAACCACTGTCCCTCCTCTGGACATGTCAAAACCACTGTCCCTCCTCTGGACATGTCCAAACCACTGTCCCTCCTCCGGACATGTCCAAACCATCTCAGTGTGTCCTCTCTAACTTTATCTCCCAGTTGTTCAACCTGTGCTGTACCTCTGATGATCTCATTCCTGATCTTCTCCATCCTTGTCTCTCCTAAGGAGAACCTCAACATCTTCATTTCTGACACTTCCAGTTCTGTCTCCTGTCTTTTTGTCCATGTCTCTGTCTCCAGACATGTTTCCCTCCTCGTGGTCTTTGACTAACAGTAGCACAATGTCCACCGGCTTCCTGTTGCTCAACATCACCGGTGGTGGTCGTTGTTCACCTCGACCTCGACCGAGACCAAAAGTAGTAAAAATGTTAGCTAAAGCAACAGAAGTATTTTTTTAAATTGGTACACCTGTAGCTGAAAGTAGCAAATGTACAGCTAAAGCTAAAAGCAACACAGAAACCACAAATAACCCAACAGCTGAAAACAGCTATAAATGTTAGCTAAAAGTATCAAAATGTTTGTTAGATGGTAAAAGTAACAAAACGCTAACTAACGTTTGCAAAATACTAGCAAACATTCTAAAAGAAACAGCTAAAAGAAACTAACAGTAGCTAAAAGCCAAAAAGGTAGATCTTTTATTTAAAAGCTACAGAATAGCTAAAATTATAAAATAGCTAAAGGCTAGCTAAATGAACCAATAAACTTGTTCAATGTAGCTAAACAGTAGCTAAAAGTCACAAAAGACTAAATAAACACATTTTTTATTTTTCCGAAGTAAAAAGGTGTCTCTGTCTCTCTGTGTCTCTGTCTGTGTCTGTCTCTCCGTGTCTTTGTCTCTGTCTGTGTCTCTGTGTATCTCTGTCTCTGTGTCTGTCTCTTTGTCTCCGTGTGTCTGTCTCTGTGTGTCTGTCTCTGTGTCTCTGTCTCTGTGTATCTCTGTCTCTGTGTCTGTCTCTGTGTGTCTGTGTGTCTGTCTCTGTGTCTCTCTGTGTCTGTGTGTGTCTGTCTCTGTCTGTCTGTCTCTGTCTCTGTGTGTCCGTCTGTCTCTGTGTGTCTGTCTCTGTGTCTCCCTCTGTCTCTGTGTCTTCAGGAGAAGCCGTTGTCTCAGATGGACACTCTGCGGTCACCATCACCAGCGTCCCTCAGGCTGCGTTCTCTGACCACGGCGTTCAGTACCAGTTCCGTACGGAAAACGCTGGAGGACAGGTGAGATCGGACCCGTTGGGTTCTGGAGGACGTGGTTTTGTCTCTGGACTGGTTCTGACCCGGTGGCTGGAGGAAGAACCATATTTGTCCCTCTGCTGTCTGCAGGTGACCTATCGGGTCGTTCAAGTGTCGGACGATCATCTGGAAGCAGCGGCAGACGGAACCGGCGCCGTCAGTGTCGTCTCCACGGCAGCGTTCGCCGGAGCCCCTCAGGCCGTGGCTCAGGTCAGTAAAGGTCAAAGGTCAGATCACTGCTGGACAGGAAGTGATGTCATGCCCACAATTATTTACACCCTCCTGTAATGTTTTTTCTTAAGCTGTTTTTACCAGCTGAAGCTTTTTGTTTACATTCTGCTGTTCTGGCTCCGCCCCCTGCAGGCAGTCATCCAGAACCCCTTCAGCAACGGGGGCAGTCCCGGTGGGGAGACCGTGGGGGGAGAAACACGCTTCGCTTACTTCCCCACCGCCGCCGTCAGCGACGGGGCGGCCGTGTCGGTGCAGACCGCCGCCGACCCGACGATCGCGCAGGCGGGAGGTGAGGAAACCTTCGGCTGCAGGAATGGCGGCGACGCGGCGAGGTTCTGACCGTGTGTTTCCTCCAATTCAGGTCAGTTCTACGTGATGATGCCCCCCGAGGTGCTGCAGACCAGCAGCCCCCGCAACATCGCGCCGCGGATACAGACCTGCAGCTCGTGAGTACTCACTGTTAGCAAAATATCTCCTCAACCCCTGGACGGACTTTAACCAAACACGAAGTAACGATCCGCCATCTTTAAGTTCGTCTTCAGGCCTGAAGGTGATGCTCTCCTGAGCTTCATCCTGAGTCTTCCTCAGAGGATTTTACTTAGTTTTATTTTCTCACATTCCCGTTTGTGTTTTTCAACTCGTCGTTTGTGTTTTTGTTGCTCTGCAGGAAGGTGGAGGGTCCGCGGGCCCCCCGGGACGATAAGAGGAGAGCTCAACACAACGAAGGTCTCTGCACCTTCATCTCAGTAAAGAACTCATTTCAATCCGTTTTATGAAACTTTCTGAGACGTCTTCTGGTTTCGTGTTTTCAGTGGAGAGAAGACGAAGAGACAAGATCAACAACTGGATCGTCACGTTGTCCAAACTGATCCCGGACTGCAGCATCGACGCCAGAACTGGAGCGGTGAGAGAACCTGTTCATCTGAGGTCCACTGACGCTGAGCCGTTTCAACTTCCTGACCCGTTCTGTTCCTCAGAGTAAAGGAGGCATCCTGTCCAAAGCCTGCGACTACATCCGAGAGCTGCGGCAGAAAAACCAGCAGCTGCAGGACGGATCCAAGGACGCGGAGCGGGTCCAGATGGAGAACGAGCTGCTGCGGCAACAGGTCCGCTACAACCCGACGCTCAGACTGACGGCTCTCTGAGCCAGTAGGAGCCTCTGGATGGTGTCCTCCGGCTCTGTCCCAGGGACGGTTTAGACCAGAACCCTGTCCTCCGGCTCTGTCCCAGGGACAGTTTAGACCAAAACCCTGTCCTCCGGCTCTGTCCTAGGGACAGTTTAGACAAGAACCGTGTCCTCTGGCTCTTATAAATAATTTACCAAGAAGCTGTCGTGTCGAACACTTTTAGCTTGCATTTGGCTACTCTTAGCTTGCATTTGGCTACTCAGCTTGCATTTGGCTACTCTTAGCTTGCGTTTGGCTACTCTTAGCTTGCATTTGGCTACTCTTAGCTTGCATTTGGCTACTCTTAGCTTGCATTTGGCTACTCTTAGCTTGCATTTGGCTACTCTTAGCTTGCATTTGGCTACTCTTAGCTTGCGTTTGGCTACTCTTAGCTTGCGTTTGGCTACATTTAGCTTGCGTTTGGCTACATTTAGCTTGCGTTTGGCTACTCTTAGCTTGCGTTTGGCTACCCTTAGCTTGCGTTTGGCTACCCTTAGCTTGCGTTTGGCTACTCTTAGCTTGCGTTTGGCTACACTTAGCTTGCGTTTGGCTACCCTTAGCTTGCATTTGGCTACTGCGTTTGGCTACTCTTAGCTTGCGTTTGGCTACTGCGTTTGGCTACTCTTAGCTTGCGTTTGGCTACT